GGAAACTAGGAGGGTCAGAGGTCTAGAAGGTGAGGGGTTCCTCCAAAGGTCCTGTAACCACCAGGGAAGGACAGCTAGCTGGGTTGGGTTGGGAGACAGAAGTGAAGTCAGGAAAGTCCCGAGGTCTCAGGACACATCCTCTTGCTGCTTATTCCATTCTGGGAAGCCATCAGTTTGGGGATGACCTGGCCAGGGGCCCCACTCTGGTTTCAGGATTTCTCACTCCCAGCTGGTCCCCAGGGACTTCCCAGCACCTGCTGGTGGGCATCTGGAGAACTGCACCTCACTGGCCTCCTGGGGGGCCCTGATCAGGCACCTGGCCAAGAGCTTGGTTTCCATTCTCATTTCATCTTCCCAACAACCAGACAGGCAGGGACTGTGAGAATTTTATAGGAAAAGCTGAGGATCACAGAAGTGAAATATTTGAATCCAGATCCCCTGACCGCAGAACTCAAGCCATAACGTCCTTTGCTCATCACTCTGGATGTTTGCTGAATGGCTACTCGGTGACACGTGCCATGCCAGATCCTCCCAGCCACCTGCGCGTGCACGTTCGTGACAGTATTTCTCACTCTGGTTTAGTTAACGTTTCTTTAACAGCCCGACTCCTAGAGGAGGGAGAGCGTCTTTCCTCTGCAGTTTCTTTCGTGCCTAGTACAGCATCAGGTACACAGAGGATGCCCCATAAATGTTTCTTAGTGTGATGACTGGAGACTGGTGATGTAAGGTACAGCATCTGCCCTCTCAGGTTTGACAGTAAGTCACTGTGATTCTTTGGGTTGAATCTCCCATGGAGGCTATAGGAAGGGCCAGGGATCTGGGTGGCGGGGACGTTAGAGACTGTGGCCACTGGAGAAGGCTGTGCAGTGGACGAGTCCTAATGATGGCTCAGCAGTCCAGGAAAAGGGAGGTAAGATACGAATCTGAAAATGCTTTGCAGATAAACTTAACGGCACCGTGAAGTTGATTCAGTGACTCTCACCCAGGAGTGATTTTGCCCACACCCCAGGGGACACCTGGCAATGTGAAGACATTTTGGGTTGTCACAATTAGGGCTGTTATTGGCATCTGGTGGGTAGAGGCGAGGGCTTCTGAGAAATAATCAATAATGCACAGAACAACCCCCCACAACAAAGAGCAATCCAGCCCGAAATGTCAACAGTGCCGAGGTTGACAAACCCCAAGGTGGCTGCCCGAGTGAAGAGGAGTATTTCCATCCACTGGGATGGGAAGAGGGTAGAGCCGTGGGCATAGAAGGAGGTGGCAACAGTAGAGGGGGATAGCAAGGGCTGTGTGGTGTGCGCATGTCCAGGAAGCAATCAGAGCTGACATGCTTGCTGCAGCAGCCTGGTGCCACTCAGACACAGATGAGGAAACAGAGGCTCAGAGAGGTACATGCTCCAGCCCAGTGTCATGGGGCTGGAGAGGGGCAGTGCAGGGTGCAGAGCTGGCTTCCGACGTCCCTGGCCACTACTTTCACTTAAGTTACTTGCTCTGACCTGGGACCACCAGGCCTCAAGCCCAGGCTCAGAAGGTGCTGGGAGGACCTCAGTGCTCCATCTAGCAAGGGGTACAAGTCCCAAGCAGGAAAGAGAAGACAAGACAGGGCTTTCCCTATAGAAACTGCCATGTGTGGATCGCTGTCCCCTCCTGGGTGACATTTTCCAGGCAGTTGATACCAGGGTCCAGCTACACATCTGGGAAACAGTCTGTCCCCTCCCAAAGCCTCTTAGAACAGGAAGAGTGCCGAGGCCATCTTGTACCTTGAATACACAGGAGATGACCTAAAGAGATGCTTTTTGTTCAACAATAGCTAAGGTTGTGCCAGCCACCTTCCCAAGTGCTTTAACACAAGAACTCCTGTAAGCCTCAACAGGGGCTGTTGTTAGCCCCATCGTACAGGCAGGTAAACCGAAGCACAGAGACATTAAGTTACTTACACAGTACCACACAGCTTTGTGTAATGATGGAGCAGGGTCTGAATCCAGGTGATCTGGCGCCAGACTCCACAAACATGGCTCACCTGGAAGGCTAAGGTGGGGAGGCCCTCGCAGAGCATGGGGCTGTGCCAGAGAACAGAGGCCACAGCCTCCTCTGAGCAGCATGTCTGAGCAGATTGCCTGCAGACTGATGGAACCCAGTTTGACATCCAAGGGCTCCTGCAGAGCAGACTTGAATGTTCTCCCTGGAGGGGAGCTGATCCAGGAGGGTGGGGGAGAGCTGGGACTCCGGGTGAGCAGAGCAGGACCATGAGGGCCCATCCCCAGCCCCTTAGCTCCTACCAGGGTCCTGTGGCTACATCTGGGCTCTGCCAGGGAGTCAAGGCTGAGGATCACAAGAGTCTCCAAATTCTCCTTCCAGGAGAGCCTATGGCCCTGTGGCTATATGCTCAAGATTCGGACATGACATACTTATGCCCAGAGCTCTGAGCTGCCATTAGCATCCGTCACTCCCAATCAAACAACCTGCTCCACCTGCCAGCCCAACATTACTGACAGAAGAGACGAGAGCCAGGCAAGGCTGCTAGTCCCTGCCCGCTGCTGCCAGGCCACCCACGTGTCTACCCCTTCCAAACCAGCTCCAGGCTATGGAGCTTCAGAATCAAGCTCTGTTCTTGCTCCTCGGCCGTGGACATAACACCCTTTGCTGTCCGGGGCCTCCTGAGGATCAGACAGCATAGGAAAAGTCGCTCCCCTCGTCCGCACATGCCAAGGAGAGGGAAGGTCACGTCCCAGCCTCCTGAGGAACAGGGCCATCCTTTCCTTCTGGACATCTCCTCCTGCAGAAGCCCCAAGTTCTGGAGGACCAAAGCCCAGAGAAAGAGGATGGGCACAGGGAGAGAGCAGAAGCATAGAAGTCGTGAACTGAAGACACGTGAGACCCTGGTGGTGGCCAGTGACAGGCTGGAAGGCATCTTGGGCTGGTGGGTGGGAGACCCGGCTCCTCACTCACTCTGGGACCCTTGGCCAGCCCGATGACTCCCTTCCCACAGCTTTGCTCAGTATCCCCAGCAGCAATTCCTCAAGGGCAGGAGTGTTTGTTGAAGAATTCTGGAAGTGCTGAGGACGATGCAGAATTCCCTGATCTGGCATCAGAGAGACCCACCATAGGTCTGGAGACCTTTCAGGAATCTGCAATTTCAATAAGTATCTCGGAGGCCTTGAATACACGTCACGGGCCATCTCATGAGACGTAGGTCAGTGGGAAGGAACAGGGGAGGCACCTCGCAGGGAAGGACAAGGTGTGCCATTCTGAGGAAGGCTCATTTGGCCCATTGGCAAGAGCTCTGGCTGAACCACAGAGCCTGGCAGGTGCCCCACCGCGTGGCCCGGGCACCATCACTCCAGGTCTTTATGACAACTGTGGCCAGCGTAACACTCATTCCTCCCACCACCACCACCACCATGTGTTCCTTTTTCTCCTTTCCCCCTATTTTGGGACACTCTGCTCCTGCTTTGCCCTGGCATTCTGGGGAAGCTGGTGACAATTTTGAACATGGAGACTATACCCTCTGTAAGTCTGCACCCTGGGGCTACCCTGCCTGGCCCCAGGAGCTCCCCTAGTAACTGGGAGGCTGCTGCAGGCCTACAGTCCCAGCAGGCTGAGCCTCTCTGCCCAGCCCTCAGAAAACAGAGGGAGGTAGGTCAAGAGGGACTGAGACCTGAAAAACCAGGTTGGCTCCAGAAGGGCACTGCCAGTAGGCGAGAGCACAGGTTTGAATCCTAAGTGACCCCGGTGAAGGGCCACTCCACAGTCTCAGCTTCCTCATCTGTAACAGGGTGATATCAAGCTCATGTGGACAAGGCTATGTGCCAGGCTCTGCTTTAGTGCTATGCATATACAGATCCATTCAGTCCTGGGAACATCTTATGTCTCAGGAGCCCTGATTCCCTATTTCACAGATGTGGACACTGAGTAACTTACTCCAGCTGTTGCACAGCTTTTAAGTGCCATAAGTGACACTCTGGCTTCAAAGACCCGGTCCATAATCACTCGTCTCTATTGATTATATGAACTACATACAAACCTCACATAGCTAGTAGGCAGAACGAGTCACTCGGAACACTGTTTATGTGTTATAAATGCACATAAAAGCTATTAGTATTGTTGTTCTTGTTCGCCTAACTCTCCTTTTTCTGCAAAGCAGAATCTTAGTAGGCCAGGGGAATGCACCTCTCCTGGTTTGATCTCCATGGGGGTGGTCAGAAGGGCTCAGGATGGTGTGAGATGGAGCCCAAGAGAGTAATCCCCTGTCTCCAATACCCTTGCACTTGTGAAGACAGCAAAACCTGGGACTCCCCCCCCCCCCCCCCCGCTTCTCAAGTCTCTGAGCTGTGGGCTGTCTGAGCAGCTAGACAGCTCCCCTCCCCACTTGGAGGGCCCCCGTCCATGTCCAGCTCCTCAGTCCAGCATAGAGCTGGGATGGGGAGGTGGGGGAGGGGCTCCCACTCATCTCCACACGGGGGGGCCCTCAGTGGGTTTCGGAAGAGCCCTGGGGGGCAGATTGGCCCATCTAAGTGGAAGCTGCCTGCTTCTCATTAGGAACTCCCAGGAACTCTATTCTTAGGGCGCTTTCTCTTGCTTTTAACTTTGACATCTTCCAGAAGTTTCCCTGCACAAAAGCAACCCCGCCGTGGCTGTAATTTGCACGTCACATCACTTGCACACAGCATGGTCCACCCCCTTCAACCGACTCCCGCACTCTCGTACCTTCCCCTGCCCGCCCCGCAGAAATGGCTTCTGCATCATCCCCAACAAACCCTCCTCCCACTCCTTCACCGGGGGAGAGAAGGTGGAAATGGGAAATTGACAGAAGAATGGGGGGGGGGGGGGGCTGGAGAACTTCAGCTCAATTCAAGCTTTTTGGAACTTCTCCGGTTTCCAGGCCCAGGCAATCACTTCTGCTTGGCGGCCCACGTTGCCATAGCAACAGGCCAGCTGTGGTCCAATGCCCCAGCCTGCTGCCCAAACCTGGGAGCACCCCGCGGGAAGCCACTTACTGTGATGGTGTTTTCCTTGCTCTGCTTTTTGCCTGGTGACAAGGATCCCAGGTTCTGGGGAGAGAGGTAAGAAACATCATCAAAGCTGTTCTCCATATTGGACTGTTATTTCCCCCCCCCCCCATTCAGGTTCCCTGAGGGTGGAGGGATTGGTGGAAAGCCCTGTGCTGGGGAAGTTCAGGGATGCTCAGCCTGCTGTGAACTCCCCCATCACCACGCTCTGGGCCAGGGCACAAAGGAAAATTTCTGAGCTCGCATGCTGCTCCTGTGCCCGGCTCTCAGGCGAAGTGGAGAAAGCTTCCTGCACAGGCTACGAGAAAAATTGTTCCAAACCAGGTCTCCCCTCCTCTTCTCTTCATTCTGTGATTTGGAGAGTTAACCCCTCCGCTGCCCTCTGCTGGTAACCGGTTCCACATGCGGCTCACGGCTTGCGCGGGCAGAATCCACTGGGGAGTGAAGAGTTAAAGCAGATGGCACCGAGGAGGACCTCCTGGCACTGAGGACTCAGCACATGACATGTTATTCAGAAACCCCCAGGTCCAAAAGATCAAACCCTAAACACATAACGTGTGCAGGGGTGCTGCTCAGCCGCCTCCGTGACTTGATGCTCTCTCTCAAGCTCAGGAGCCGGGAGGAATTTCAGAACAGAATGGAGCGTCCGTTTTTGGACTGACTTTTTATTTATTTTTTCTTGTTGCCAGAAGAAAAATCAGGGTCCCAAGTATCTCTGAGCCCACAAGTCCTCAGCAGCTTGCAAAAGTTCTAGGATGGTGCTCAGAGGGAAAATTAAAGGTTGCCAGTATTTGTGTGTGTGTGTGGATGCATTTGCCATAGATGCATCTGCATAAGAACCTAGGACCCTAAAGAGAACCTTTAATCCTGGGTCTCAGGTGTTCTATCAGCAATTGCATTTGAAATTCAACCCTAAAGGTCCCCAGGCAGGACCTGTAGTGTCCCCATCTTGAGTCACATAGTGACCTGGGAAGCAGCTTACTCTAAGGCACTGAGGATAGCCATCCTCTGGACATCCTGGGGCTGAGACTGAGATTTACCCTATCTTTGGGCAAGTATAAGGAAGTGGCTGTCACTTTTAATAGGATAGGAGAAGCAGAGTGGGGCTTCTCCAGGGAGCCTCAAAGAAACCAGCAGCCCTATCCCCAGGTCAACATAACCCTGGACCACCGGGTCAGATGAGCATGTGTAGGAGGGGGTTAGCGCCAGCCTCAGGAGCCCAACCATGACACAGGCCTATGGGGCTTTAGTGAGTTCTTGCCTGTGCTCTGTCTTGACTGCTATACAGTCCTACCTGGGCTTTTAAATAAAGTCAGCTCAAAAAAACTGATAGCCTTGGAGTGCTTAGTGCAAAGGAACCTTAAGGACTATCCATTTCACAGACAAGAAACTGTTTACTAGTTTTGAGACCCCAGCCAAGAAACCTGACCTCTATGAGTCTCTGTTTCACCATCTGCATAATGGGTTATCACCACTGCTCCTAAAACTTTGAGATGTCTCAGAATTCACTGAGGTCCCTGCTCAAAATAGAGGACCAACCGCATCCCCCAGACATGCTGGCTCCAGCAGGTCAGTCTCAGGTGGGGCCGGTTCTTTTCCTACAAAATCTGAAGACTTCACTTGGAGGTACACTGATCTGATCCACCTGCTGTTGTTTTCTCCAGATGCCTCTCCTTAGGGTAACTGCCTGACCACCCCAGAAGGCTCTGGGGCAATGTCAGACTTGTGGTCAACTAGAGCTTCCGTAGACATTTTTAAGGCATCAACCCATCCAGCTGGCTCACCCCATGCCCTCCCCCATGCCATTAGTGCTGTGCCAGGGCACTTGCCAAAACTGCTCAAGGAAGGAGGAGTCAGGCAGGGGCCACATGGCAGGATCCCCAGGTACTGGCCACCAAGGAGAAGAGACAGGGGCAGAAGTCCCTCCACAGGCTCTCTTACGCAGACACTGGCCAAGCACATACCTGCCACCAGAGTGCAATCTCTGTGGTCTGCAATCTCTCTGTCATGGAGTAACTTTACACCATCGCCACTGCAGCTCACCCAGGGGAGCAACCAGGGCCCTGGGAGCCTCCGCCATAGTCTTGGTGTCTGCATATGGTTGCCATGATGATGGGGATGCCGAGAAGGAGGAGAAAGATAACTAAGGGGAAGGGAGCATTGCAAGAGCCACCATCTAGTGAGGGCTTGCTTATTATGGCAGGTACCAGGCTTGGCATTGGCCAGGCTTAATCTCATTTAATCCTACAACCCCAGCAAGTTGCATGGCTTCTCATCTGTTTTACAGACCGTGATATTGAGGCTTGCAGAAGCTACATCATCCAGGGTCACAAGACTAGTAAATAGACCTTGTGGAAATTGGAAACTAAGCCTGCATAATTCTTTCCTCTATTTTCCGCCATCTCTCTGCTTTGAGACCTGAGACAGCATCTTGTTTTCCAAAAGCCCTTGCGGCGGGCGGGTGGGGTGGGGTGTGTGTGTGTGCTGACAAAGATCCCCATCATCCATGAGCATTTACTTTGGGATCACCTGTATAAGACTCTGTGGAATGAGATGGGTCACCTCCTCCTTTATAACTTGGGCCGGGACAGGAATACAAATCATGCATCTAAGTGTGGGAGTCAGTACCTCCCCTGATTTCTGCCCTATCAGCTGTGTATCACTTCAACCAGTGTGAATCAGGTATCAGGGGATGCCCAAGGCCATACCAGACTCCGTGTTTGCCCTTGATGACCTGGGACTATTCATTCCAACTTCACACACATCTACACGTCACATACACGCATCATCGTGGATGTGCGTACACACACACTCATGCACATCATATATACACACCCCCACCTTGTAGTACGCCATGGAAAGGACCCAGAGGAATGACCCCTCACCACAGTGAAAACACTCACCAGCTGCAATTTGGTTTCTAAATACTATTTCCTATTAAAATGAACCCCAGTTTCTTGGAAAAGTGACTAATTCCAAATGCAAGGTAGACCTGGAACATCTTATCGTGCAAGGAGGTAAGAAAAATCCACAAAGATAAAACAAAGGGACACAGGAGCCAGCTGAAAGGGGCTCCCACAGGCCATGTTTGGGCCCCTTTGAGCAGAAATATGAATGATTTCAATGGTAACTCCAAAGTGGGAGGAAGGAACCTTCATTCAGAAGAGTGCCAATCAAAATCACAAGCAATAAGATCGCCGTGTGGAAACCCCAATGTCAAAAGGGGTTAAAGCCAGAATCACTGCAGATGTTCAAAGCCCTGGGGGGAGAAGAGAGTTGGGGAACAGGACAGTGACTATGTATCACCCCACAGGTTATTGCCATATTTAGAAAGGGAAGTCTGGTCCTCACCATGCTAACCAAGAGCTCAAACTCAGCCTCTCCATCAGGGTTGCAAGCCTGGGCGGTGCCTCCCTGTAAGATGTAATAAGAACTCAGTGTGCCCTACTTGGTGGCTCCCTCGCCCAAACCGCCTAACCTGGATCTCTAAGCAAAAGACAATTAGATCAGGAATGTAGGTCATTCTGTGAGCCAACTGACCTGGACTCTTCAAAAAATAGACTGAAAGCCAATGTTAGAAAAGACAAAAGGAAAAAAAAAAAAACCCAAACTGTATAAGGGACCCACCTAGATGAAGAGAGATTAAAGTGAGGATATAGATAAAATGGTCTAGCTCTACGAGGGGTATCATCCAGCCATAGGAATGAAGGTCTGACCTGTGCTACAACACAGACCCCCCCCTGGAAAACATGGACAGTGAAAGAAGACAGCAACTTGGGACGGTAAACAGCATGATTCCGTGTACACGAAATGTCCAGGACAGGAACATCCACAGAGAGGGAAGGTAGAACAGTGGTTGCCTAAGACTTGGAGGGGGGGGGGGGAGAATGCTCTTTGGGATGATGAAGATGTTCTAAGATTCATTGTGATTATGGTTGTACAGCCCTGTAAATATGTGAAAAAAAATTCCACCGGATTATACATTTTTAAATGGGTGAATCGTAGCCGGGTTCAGTGACGCATGCCTGTGATCCCAGCGACTCGGGAGGCTGAGGCAGGAGGATCACAAGTTCAAGGTCAGCCTCAGAAGTTAGCAAGATCCTATTCTCAAAATTAAAAAGAAAAGGACTGGGGACTTGGGTCAGTGGTAAAGTATCCCTGGGTTAAATCTTCAGTACCTAAATAATAATATTAATAACAACATAAGTGCATTATACTGTAAGTTATATCCCGACAAAGCTGTTTATGAGACGCAGAGAGAAACAGAGAAAGAGAGAGATGGGCTCAAGGGAAGGCAGCCAATATGCCCACATGTGAGAACTGAATGGATCCTGGACTGGGGAGAAGAGTAGACGGGAAAAGCCTTCTGGGGACAACTAAGGAATTTATGTACAGGCTTAGTACACAAATTTATATTATACTTTCTTAGATGTTATAATGGCATTATGTTGTCTTTCGTGCTCGAGATACATTTTGAAATATTTCTATTTAAAACAATACGCCAGGAATTTGCTTTAAAAGTTGGGGGAGAGGCATCAGGGGTGCAGAGGAGAGCATAAATGACATGAGCTTAACAAGACAGGCCAAGCACCAGCAATTGCTGAAGCTAAATGGTATAGGTCAGTGGGACTTTATCAGAGTGTAACCTCTACTTGTGCAAAAGTATGCAAATTCCCTTAATAAATATCTGTTTAAATTTTTCTTTGTCTGTAATTCCAGAGAATTCCTTTCTATTTATTTTTTAAACCCCTCCCCAGTATGCTGTCCTGACTGTACCTGGGCAGCTCTGGTAAGGACTGACGGGTGTGGCATACGCAAATTGCCTGCTAAACGGCAGTGGGCCATTCACAAGTGACTCAGCAAGACCCTGTTCCAGATGTCTTGGCAGCCTGTTCCCACACCCTACAAATAATCTTTGGGGTCCTCCTGCTTTGGTCCTAACCCCATCACTTTGCCGAGCCAAGCTGAGCTCATACTTCAGTCTTCATTCAAGTATCTTTTCTCCATTCCTGATGTCCCCCCCACACACACACCCACCCACACACCACCTAGCATACATTTCCTCTAGCCCTTATCACGGCTGAAATTACATAATCATTATAAAATCTACAGACCCCCACTTCATAAAGGCAAGCACCACATCCTTCTGTGTCTCAGTGCCTGGCAAAGATGTAAATGCTCAGTGGAACATGCAGTACCAAATTGGCAGGGAGGTAGAGCATGGCAGACATGCAGCACGCCCCCACCTTCCACCTTAAACTCAGTCTTCAATGGGGTCCCTTCAGTGTCCACGTCCCAAGTCCCATTCTCTTTTTTCCCTGGGTCTTCCTAGAAAAGTTCATGGCAAGTCAGAACAACTGAGAAATGGATCACAAAAGGACCTGTCCATGGGTGGGCAAAGGCTGGCAAGACTATTAGCCTTTGATCCCCCACCCCTCCTCCCAGTCAGGAGGTCTCCATTTACCTTCAGTGCACTGCAATAGAGTTGCATTACTGAAACTCTCCACTGGGTGGCACCAGATCACCACCACCTGTGCCCACCCATGCAGGTGTGCCCAGGCTGGGCATAGGAAGAGGCAGGACCCTCAAGAACCACTGGGGCTCTCGGCCATAGGATCTACTCATGACAGGGCATGGTGCGTACACACTCTTGGTTTCCATGAAAATTAAGTATGCCCTCCTCCCCTCAGCATGCTAATCTCCATTAGCCTGCTCAGTGAGGGGCAATTAGCAGGTGACAGAAAAGTGAACACAACACTTTCTGGGGTTTGTTAGTTTGAGCTCTGTAACCTTGAACAAACCATTCTATATACCCCACACCCTGCCTTTTAAATGGGCATGTGTTCCTTTGTTGGTTCATTGATGCATGTTTCAATAATTCAGTGTAGTTGTTACGAGTTATGATTGACAGCCCGGGGTGGTGTGAGTGAATCAGCCTGCATGCTAGACAAGATGGTATACTTAGGGATCCATTGTTGGCAGTACCATCTGCAAAAACCAAACCTTAAAATTTTATGTTCAGCCTTTAGCACCTTTTTGGATGACCAACTCTGTAGGATCACAAACTAGGACAAACAGTAGTACCTTTCATATTCAAATGTTACCCTTTCACAGCCTAAAAGAACTGAATCCCTGATACTAGTATCTCCCTTTCAGCTTTTATGTTTTATAATAGAAAACTGTAGTAATACAGGTGCAGAGGCACATGCCTGCAATACCTGCGACTTGGGAGGCTGAGGCAGGAGGATTGCAAGTTCCGGGGCAGTGAAGACAGGGAAATCCTGTCTCAAAAAAATAAAAGAACAGTTGGGCATGTAGTTCAGTGGTAAAGTGACTGAGTTCAATCCCCAGTACTACAAAAACAAAAGCATCTAATGTCTTCAATAAAAATAAAATGTTTTCATTTTAAGAAATTTGAGACATAGTTAAAAATGTAACGGGAGTAAAAATTACCCGTGATTTTTGACCAAGGCTTTGCAAATTCAGCATAACTTGTGTATTTTCATCCTGGGTGATCTTTTGCTGTGGGGAGCCATCCTGTGCACCTTGGGTTATTTAGCAATGTCCCTGCATCTACTCACTAGATTCCATTAGCACCCAGTCCCCACCTGTAATAAACAAAAGTCTCCCTGATGTTACCAAATGCCCCCTGATGGAGAACCATGGTCTTAGATGCAGATAAAACCATCATAAATGTTCTGTTTTTTTTTTTCTTTTCCTCGTCTTTCTTCACATAAGTGTAGGTTTTCTTCCTACAAATAAGACTAATGATATGTATTACTTGTGTTCTGCTCTTTCTACTTGATGTTAAGTTGTGAGCATTTCCACCAATCATTGAATTTTCCTTAGAAGAATGCTTTCTGAATGGCTGCACAGTATCCCTGGCTGGTTGGATGTCAAGGATAACAATCCATTTTCCCATCTCCTCTTGCTGGACAATTAGGTCGGGTCCAATGTTACAGGGCTATAAATAATGCTTGAGAGAACAACTTGAAGCCTAAATCAGAATCCCTGAATATATTCCGAGAACAGACTCTGGAAGAGAAATTCCTATGTCAAAGGCTTATGATTCACACTATGAAATCAGATTCTGAGTTATAAATTAGTAATGCCAGTCAACATTTTCTGAAATGGTTGAGTAACAACTTCGTAGCATAGAGGGAGTCATGTAGGGAAGGAAGAATGAGGAGCTGTTTCCAATGTTCTTCCTGATGATGCTCAGGGTAGCACCAGTGTTTTTTTTTTCTTGCTATTAAACTATAAGCAGCCAGGTGTGGTGGCGGCACACCACAGCAATTTAAGACGCTGAGGCAGGAGGATGACACGTTCAAAGCCAGCCTCAGCAATTTAGTGAGGCCCTGAGCAACTGAGCAAGATTCTGTCTCAAATTTTAAAAAATAAAAAGGGCTGCAGATGTGGTTCAGTGGTTAAGCACTCTTGGGTTCAATCCCCAGTACCAAAAACAAACAAAAAGCAAAAATGAAATTCAAAAACCCTACAAGCAGAACTTAATCTGATTTCTTCAGAAAACACTTGCAAGTCAGATGACAAGTGAGTTTCCCTTACAGCCGACTGACAGAGTGTTGGGGGAGGCTATTTGGGAGCTCAGCAGCAAACACACAAATCCAGGTGTTATGAGCAGCGGGTGTGAGCAGGACAGACACATCTCTGTGTACTATTGACTAAGCCTAGATCCCTACTACTCACGCTTAGTCCCCAGCATCATCATCATTGCCTGGGGGATGGCTGAAAATACCTGCCCTATCCTAGACTTCTTGGATCAGAATCTATATTTTTAACAAGAGGCCCAGAAGACTCAGACATCATTCCCAATTTAAGAAGTCCTGACCCGTCCAAATTCTCTGCCAGAGCTAACTGAACCGAACCTGAGCCCAGCCAACACTCAGCCTCTTGAGAAGGACTTAATGATTTTCCCAAAATTAACACTCTTGCCTGTGTAGGAGTGTCACATTTTAATTGATGGGGACCAGGAGAGCACAAGGGTTTTTTTTTTTTTTTTTTTCTTTCACCGGCTGCTACATCGAAGCCACTGAATAAGCAGCTCTTGTTCTTGTCAATATCAGCAATGTTATCGTCATAATCATCCTCAGTCATCATCATTGTCACCACCCCTGGGTTCTAGCATTTTAATTCCAAAAGAAAAAAAAAAAAGCCTGGTGGAATTTGGAAGGTTCACTGAAAAAAACTCTTCTTTTGATAACTTGTGGATAGACAAAGTTAAGACTAGCCCTCAGCCTCTTAGAGCAGCTTTAGAACCACTGGGGAAACCACGGGCAGGGTTTCAGGTCCAGCCTGACCTGAGTCACCGCGTGAGCCTGCACAAGTCACTTCACCGGTCTGCACCTCCGTGGTCTCAAACACCGTGGGAATGGTACTGACATCTACCTCGTGCCCTTGTACAAGTGTCAACCGAGACAGCGAATGAGAAAGTGGTTTGGGGATTGTGAAACACTGCCAATGCTTTCTGTCTTCTAGCTATCTCTATGATGGCTCAGCAAGTGAGATGATCGAATTGTACTAATCAACTCCATTGTGGGTAACCTCTGGGGATGGGAGAGACAAGAGATGCAAAGGGAGAATGGCTCGCCTGCCCACACTCTAAAAGTGAAGAGAAACCTGGGCTGTATGCGTCAGGAATGCAGCCAGAAGAATGGAGCCCTCTGTCCTGACAGTTAGAACCCTGTCACCCCCTCTTCCAAACCACCCTCACGGTCTAGAAAACAGACTCCAATGATCCAACCCTCTGCCCATCAGGAAATTCTAGAATACCCCGGATGTACCAGTCACTTTCCACCTAGGAGTTCGAACTGGGCTGGAGCCATGGACTCCCATGGACATCCCCCTCTCAACGAACCCTTCCTGGGCCCCTTCCTAGGCCTCCCTCAACGGGACCCCTTACCTGGGAATCACCGGTGGATTTTCGGAGACTCATGTGGGCAGTCTCTGGAGGGTGCGCTGGGGTCCCTGATGCGTGGTATCCATTCACTGCGGGGACAGAGACACGGCTCAGATGCTGTGAGGGGGCCACAAAGAGGCACCTTCGACTTTTGGCCATTCCAGTCCCTTCTCCCACCATTCCCTGGGTTCTGGGAGGCCCTCACATGGCTAAGATGGTCTCTCAGGATCTCATGGTTAGCTGCGGAGCTGGAAATGGCTCGAAAACTTCTGTCTAATCCATAGCACCCGAGTTACTGAATGGTCAGGGGGGCCGAATTTCTTTTCAGGAGGGTGTTTAACAAGAGGCGAGGTCATAGAATCCAGTGGCCAAGGCCACCAATCAGCTGCAGTCTTGGGTTCTGGTCAAAGGTCACATCTTTCTCTCTGTGGAGTCAGGTGGCCCCTTCATTACCTTCTTATAATATCTTGCCTTTCTCTCTAAAGAACTTCTCCACCCTCAGAACAGTGTGATGTAGGTACAGATTGGGTATCCCTGATCTGCAATGCTTGGGCCAGAAGGATTTCGGGTTTTGAAATACTTGCATAGACTTTAGACACTGATTGAGCATCCTTTTTTTTTGTGTGTGGGAGGGGTTGGGGAGGTACTAGGGATTGAATTCAGGGCACTCAACCCCTGAGCCACATGCCCAGCCCTTTTTTGTATTTTATTTAGAGACAGCATCTCACTGAGTTGCTTAGTGCCTCCCTGTTGCCGAGGCTGGCTTTGAACTCGAGATCCCCCTGCCTCAACCTTGGGTGAGCATCCTTAACCCCCAAAATTCAAAATCTGAAAAGTTCCAACATCCAGAAGTCTTGGGATGTTCAAAAAGGTTCCGAATTTAGAGTTGGGGGCTAGGGATGCTCAACCCCTGGGACGGAATGATAACTAGATTGACTAGATGGTATGAAATCTGGCTCTGCCAACTACTAGCCAGGCAATCATATATAGACATTCTCAAATCTTATTATTGCTAAAATTAAAATAATCAGAGGCTCTAAAATTCTACCCCCTACGGACGTATGCCTCTTGGGGGACACTTCTCATTCTCCCAATGTGTGTGGATAAACCTGCTCTCCAAGTAGGGGCAGGGGAGCCCTGATTTGTAATGTCTGATCTCTGTGGCACCAACGCTTGGCCAGCTTCGGGCCCTCAATGCTGCTGCATGATCCTGACATCCCGAGTTGGCCCTGGGACCCAGATAGTCACAGTTCCCAGAGGTGGTGTGGCTCTCTCCTGGCTACAGTTACCTGAGCTTAGAGGGTAATTCTATTGAGTCTCCAAAACTACTTTTCTGGTGTTGACAGTCCCATGAGGGCGATAATTGCAAAAGGGATATCTGTGGGTAATGAAGTACTTCATTAAAACAGAATAGAGAGAGATGGGGACGTCGGGGAATTTTTTCCCTGAATTTAATCCCTGTGTACCACCAGTTTGAACAACCTCTGGAGACCAGGAAAGCCATCCAGCCTTATGTCCTGGGTTTGGAACTAGGACCAACACATATAGATAGTGCAGGTCAGAATTGGGGGAAGACATACCCACTGATGTCCCAAGATATATAACTGGTGTCACAATTCTTTTTGGGAAAGCTCTTCAGTACGGCAGGAAGTCAAGGAGAAAACGGCTAAAAGTCACTAACATTGACTCCAGGTTGCACATCCCTAATCCAAAATGCCTACTAGAGTGCCCACGTGATGTCACGAGTGGAAAATTCCACCCCATGAAACTTGTGCCATGCACAAAATTATGAAAAATAGTGCATAAAATTACCTTCTGGCTACGTGTATAAGGTGTGTACGAAACATAAATGAATTCTGTGTTTAGACTTGGATCCCATCCCCATGATATCTCATTATATATATGCAAATATTCCAATTAAAAAAAAAATCCCTAATTTAAAATATTTCTGGTTCAAGCACTTTAGATAAGGGATATCCAACCAAAATGGAACAGCCAGGGCTGGAAGGAAACCATGGGTACTAGGATGGTGAGGACCATGACAGGAGGAACCCTTCCCACACTGGGGGAGGTCCTCCATTCTCTAAACTGGCAGTGAAAATCCAGGGCCCTCTGCTAGCAAGGCCACACTCAGCATGGTGCAGGTGGGCCGCTGGCTTCTCCCCGATGCACAGGGTCTGTCCATGTTCCTGAAGGGTGGACACGTACACACCAAGAAAAGAGAAAACTGGTACAGAGCACGGTCCTAGTGCAGTGGCTTGGGGAAGAAGAATCCATCAATTGATCAATGCCAATCACATCAATCCAGGCGAAAAGGCAGTTTAAGAGGAGGAAGCCAGGGCTCCATCAGGGGGGTGCCAAGGGTACTGGGGGACTCTGCTCAGGTGGGCATAAAGCTATGCCAGGGAGGCTCTGGACCCATGAGAACTCTATCCCATCACACTGGAGAGATTTCACTAATCCAATAGCATGGAGCCCACAGGGGTAAGACACAAATGCTAGAAAGTTCCAAGACAACAGGAGAGAACCTCAGGACACTGCTCTCAGTCTGGGATGGACGAGTAAACAGGAATAAGAAGAAGTAAGATCCGAATAATTTAATTTAAAAGGCTGATTGAAGTAGACGTATCAAACAGCAGACCCTGTAAAAAAGAAAGATGGCATCTTTTTCCAAGTAGCCATGGAATACTCACAATGTTGGCCATAGGTAAGCCACAAATAAACTGTCAATAAATGATCAAAGGCATAGAGAACACAGGCCGCATTCTTTGATCAGAAAGCAATAAAAGTAGATATTAATAATTAAAAAAAAGAGATAGACAAAGTTCCCAATCTCCCAACTCCCACACACTTGGAAAATTAAGAAAATGTCCTCATAAGTGACGTCAGGTGGAAAGAGAATGGAAGACTGTAAGTATGCAAAATTTAGAAAATGATAAGGAAAAACATAAATACCAGTGGGACAAAGCCTGCGTCATCCTTGGGAGGAAGGTCCCTAGCCTGATTATTTCATCACCAAGCCCAAAGGAATCAAAATCAATGGAATGAACATTCAACTTCAGATTTTAGTAAAGTATAAAAGGCCAAACGAAATAAAACAAAGGAATATCAACATGAATTAGTGAGTGAGGAAACGGGGTGACATCAGCAACCCAGCGCTGGCTGTGGGTGGGTGGTGTGTGTAGGTGTTATGTGTGTGGTGTATGTATGTGTGATACCTTTGTGTGGTGTATGTATATGGTATGTGTGTGTGTAATGTGTGTGGTGTGTAATGTGTGTGGTGTGATATGTGGTGTATGTGTGTGGTGTATGTATGTGATGTGTGTGTTTGGTGTGTGGTGTGTGTGGTATGTGTGGTGTCTATGGTGTATGTATGTGTGTTATCTTTGTGTGGTGTATGTGTATGGTGTGTGTGTGTAATGTGTGTGGTGCGTAATGTGTGTGGTGTGGTGTATGTGTGTGGTGTGTGTGTTTGGTGTGTGGTGTGTGTGGTATGTGTGGTGTATGGTGTCTGTGGTGTATGTATGCGTCTTATCTGTGTGTGGTGTATGTGTATGGTATGTGTGTGTGTGATGTATGTGGTGTGGTGTATGTGTGTGGTGTGTATGGTGTGTGTGTAGTGCATGTGGTTTATGTGGTATATGTGTGTGGTGTGTATGTTGTGGGATGTGTGTGTGGTGTGTATGGTGTGGTGTGTGTGTGTATGCTGTGTGTGTGTATGGTGTGGTGTGTGTGTGTGTGTATGTTGTGGTGTGTGTGTGTGGTGTGTGGTGTGGTGTGATGTATGTGATATATGTGTATGGTGTTTATATGGAGTGGTGTGTGTATATTTGGTGTGTGTATGATGTGGTCTTGTGTCTGGTGTGTGTGGTGTGTATGGGTAGTGGGGAGGGGTTAGAATCACAATGAAAACAGGCAATGAGCCAGCTTAAATTGGGAATGACCACAAATGCTCAGAATTGGGAACCAGAACAGATAAAAGTAACAAATATAGTAGAGTTTTTTTTTTTTTTTTTAAATGGAGGAGCATATGATTTCTAATTCTATGCTAATAAAAAACAAACTTTTCATAAGATTCAAATTATCAACATGGTTTCAAGGAACAGTAGAAATGCCCCAAAGAGCCAAATCTTTGAAAAAGGACTTCCCTATCAAAGGCACTGAACCCAGACGGTTTTATAGGCAAATTTGTTCAGGCTTTCAAGAAAGAAACACCCAGGCACAAACCGTACCAGAGCGCAGAAACGTGGCCGGCTTCCCAGCCTCTGTACAAGACCAACATCACCCTGATCCTAAAACCAGAGAAAGATAATGCAAAACAGAACCAGAGTTCAGTCTGTGGAAATGAAACGCACACATTTTCATCCGGGCATGTAATGTCATCAAAGACAACCAAGGTTGTTCCTAGCTCCTTGAGGGCAGAGGCTGTCCTGACCCCAACTTGCCCCCTTCACAGGACCTCAAAGTGCACCCCCAATAGGCTGCTGTCAGTCTCCCAGCCCAGCACCCCCAGGCTCCTAGTCGGGTAGACTAAGAATGGCCAGGGACTACTAAATGCAGGGGCACCCTGCTCCTAATCCAATCTCTTGTTCTCTCTCCAGTTCTGGTCTTGTTAGCTGTTGGCTAATTACTACTCATGTCAAAACAATTACCAGGAAAGAAAAACTAATTTTCCATTCAACCACTGCTCCCTACACAGCGGCTCTCCTCTGACAACCTGTCTCGTTGCATCTCGCTCTAAACACTCCCAGGCACGTTCAGAAAGCTGATGGGTGGAGATCAGAGCAGTGAAGGCCCAGAAGATCATAATTGTCTTTCCTCATCCTCTGGGCTCCTAACTCACCAAGCATCAGCCACAGAGCAAATGGGGCCAGAGTGGGGGGTTTCGGCTTCTGAGACCTCTGGCCTCCAGGAGGAGAAGTAAGATTGGTCAAGGATCACTCATAACTCTAAGAAACATAATTAGATTGGGGATATAAGGAGTGTAAAATGCCAAACTCAGGCTTTTTTAAGTTAAAAAAAAAAAGGGGAACAAAAACTCTCTGTAGTAACTTTGGCAACTTCAAAAGTAAATATAAACACAGGTGCA